TCTGTTTCAGATCCACTAAATTGCAGTGTCATTTTCTGTCTGCCCTCCCCCCCATATCCTTCTTTCAGTTCCTGGTATTTCTGGTATTTATTGTTTCTAGTCCTTCATTTTCTTCTCATCTTGCCCAGAATATAAGGAGTGAATATTAAAGTAAGTGTCTCATGACAGAGAATCTTAGTTCGATTTTAAAGCTTGCTACAAGCCAGTGATTTTACCTGTGACCACACAATAACACAAAGGAGGTGGATCAGGGATTGATGGACAGATGAAGTATAAATAATATTCAGAGGCAGAGCACTATTAAAAACCTATTGTATTTTAGTTAGCTATCACACACTGTCACTGTCACTGTCATGAGCTGGAATACCCTATACAGGTAGTCCTCGACTTACAACAGTTCATTTAGTGAACGTTCAAAGTTACAACAGCACTGAAAATAATGACTAATAATCATTTTTCACAGTTACGACATTTGCAATATCCCCCATGATCATGTGATCAACATTCAGATGCTTGGCAAGTGGTTCATATTTATGACCGTTGCTGTGTTACCAAGGTCGTGATCCCCTTTTGCGAGCAAAGTCAATGGGGAAGCCAGATTCACTTAACAACCGTGTCACTAACTTATCAACTGCAGTGATTCATTTAACAACCGAGGCAAGAAAGGTCGTAAAATGGGGCAAAATTCACTTAACAAATCTCACTTAACAACAAAAATGTTGGGCTCAATTGTAGTCGTAAGTCGAGGACTACCTACATTGAAGAAAACTCATAGGCTAAGAAATACAGTTGGTCTTTTTGGAAAATTATGATTCTTATATTTTGTATGGTCATTTTCCAGGTGGAGTATCTAATGAGGATACTCCAAATATACTGAGGAATGGATGTAAGAAACACCACTGTGATATCTTTCCTTAAACCAAAGGATTATTATCCTTAATTTCAGGAAATTATTCAAAGAACATGAATGCTAGTGTGGTTACAAACTAGAGTGGTTGACTTAGATGCAATTTTTAATCTTTGGTTAACCCAAAAGATTTGCAGCATTATTTTGAAGCGAAAAGGGGATTTCATCCTGAGGTTTTTAGAAGTTATTTTTAAAATATTTTAAAATACACTAGATCTGAGCATGTTAAATACTGCTGGGAAAGGCAGTTGGAGAAATGCCATCTTTCTCAAACATGCTTGTATTCCTCCATTCTTTTCTCCTCTCTCCCTGCCTGCTCTCATTCAAAGTAGTATGCATGGTAGGTGTAAGTAGATTAGGTTGAGACATTTGTAGAGACAACACAACTCTCACTAGACACAAAACTCAACACTCTTAAAAAACTGTGATAGACCGTCTTTTAGTACAGAAAGTTGTGTCACAAAAATAAATATTTCAGAAATTAGGAAGTAAAGAACAGAAAGTTGTAAGAATGTACTGTGACCATAAGCAGAAAGTTCTGCTGACTGTGAAGTTGAAAAGCAGAAATTGTCTTTGGTTCCTTTTAACAGTGCTAATGGGTGGGAGGGAATGTTGAGGATCAAGCTATCTCATTTAAAAGATGAGGGGGATTACATTAACGTGACTTCATTGTTACATTGAGCTCTATTCTTGTTAAAGGCATTAAAAACTTTGTATTCAGAAATGGGCACAAAGGAAGAAGGGGGGGGTGTTGGATGCCAGGAAACTATGAATCTGTGTGAATTTTTTTTTTTAATCATATGAATCAACCCCTTCTGTAGAATCTCTCAGGTTTTTAAAAAATGGACTAAAATCCCATCTAACCTTATACAGGTAGTCCTCAACTTACGATCACAATTGAGCTCACAATTTATGTTGCTAAGTGAGAAATTTGTTAAGTGAGTTTTGCCCCATTTTACAGATTTTCTTGCCACATTGGTTAAGTGAATCACCGCAGTTGTTAAATTAGTAACACGATTGTTAAGTGAATCTGGTTTCCCCATTGACTTTGCTTGTCAGAAGGTCGCAAAAGGGAATCACATGGCTCTGGGACACTGCAACCGTCATAAATGTGAATCAAGCATCCAAATGTAAATCACATAACCATGAGGATGTTGCAATAGTCATAAGTGTGAAAAATGGTCATAAGTCCCTTTTTGCAGTGCCGTTGTAACTTCTAATGGTCACTAAGCAAACTGTTGTAAATTGGGGACTACCTCTACTTTCTGTATTTGTCCTTCATTCTGTCTAGAGGTGCCCATCCCACAAAAGTTTCCAGTCTCCCAGGTTAACCCACAAGACTCCAATCTTTTGGGCCCAATCAACAAATCTGGAGTTTTGAGAAACAATCGAGAGCCATTGCAAAGTAATGGCATGGGATAATGCTAAGTTACAAAATAGCTGTTGTGGTACCTGCAGCCAATTGCAAAATACTCATTTCATAGAATAGTAGAAAGCATATCATTACTCTGAACAAAAACCCTGAACAAAGAGCAGAACTGGAGTCAGATCCAAAACAGAAAGAATGCGTTTGAATCAACATTTCTCTAGCTTATATAAACAGATTGGGGTTTTTTGTTTTTGTTTTGCTACACTCTGCAGCACAAAACACACTTGTGTTAGTTATTATTTCCTCCAGAACTTCCATCTTCCTGAACACTCCCTTGGTATCTCTCCCACCCGTTTTAAACTTTCTTATACATCTAGCATTCGGTATTTTTAATATTGTCTTCAGCAAAACTGTCTTTCTTTTTTCTCCATGGCCAGTAGGAAAAAGAAGCTTACAAACCTTTTTTACTAAGTTAATCAAAAGGAGCAAAAAAAGAAGCTGACAACTGTGCAAGCTTGGTGGTACGTGGAGTTATTTACAAAGCAATGTTACATTTTAAACCAAGAATATTGGAACAAAAAAAGTCTGTAAAAAATAAATATAAAATGTATCTTCAGTCTAAAGAATGTATGACATTAAGAGGATTTATTATCGGAAGAGATATATATATTCGAAATAACATTTTTTCCTCTCTTAATTGAATCATATAGCACCAGAGGATCTGAGAACCTTGTTGTTCTTTTCCTTTTTCTCCTCCTCCTCTTCCTCCTCCTCCTCCTCCTCCTCCTCCTCCTCCTCCCCCCCCCCCCCCCTTGGCAAATGCAGGGTCCTCTTTTTTTCAGATTAACTAAGTGTTGATCCAGGTTGCAGCAAAATTGACTGTCCAGCTTGTCACCTGAACCTGACATCATGGATTGATTGAGAGAAAGTGATTGGCCCAAGTTATTCAGCTAAGGCTGGACTAGAGCTTATAGTTTCCTGGTTTCTAGCAGTCACTAGACCCAACTGGCTCTTGATCGTTAAAATCTGAGAATATTCAAAAGAATAAGGATTTTACTCCTATTGATTTTGTGTTTTTATTTGTATAATGGGATTGTAAAAGTAAGCAAAATGCATATTTAGAGTCATTTTACTCGAGCTTTAGTATTTGAAACAAAAGTCCTGGCCTCCCTTGGAGATTTATTTCATGAGAAATACAAGTTTGTTGATTCTCTTAGACCTGTCAGTAGCTTTCAGTGCCATCTGTCAAGGTATTCCTCTGGACCAATTGTTTGAATGGGTAGTGAAGAGCACAGGTTTATTTAATTTACTGCTTCCCTAGGAGGGTGGTGGAAGATGATAACTTTGCATCGTGATAGTTGTGCCATAGAATTCCTCAAGATTTGTTATTTTCCATGCTATTTAATATCTGCATGAAACTGTAGTGGGAATTGTATAGGGTCATGTGCTGAGTTAGGGTTAAGAAGATGAAATTTATCTGTCCTTTTCATTAAATGAAGCAATAGGTATCCAAGGTTTGAATAGATGAGGGTTGCAAACAGCCAAAAAGTTGAAGAAAAAATGAAACGGTCCAGATAAGTAGTATTATTGAAAAACTACACTTAATCTTGAAAGACCTGGAATCTTGTTTAAAAGTACTTCTTTATCCATCACTGACATAGGAGACATGAAGCCTTGGTGACTGAGACTGTATTTTTATCAACTTGATATGCTAGCAGCAACAGAATATCAGTATATTTCAGAATCGGGATAACTAGATTGATATAGCCTGTTGTACACGCTTTGGTAAGCTCTCAATTGCATTACTGCAATCCTTGCATGTGGCTACCATACAATATAATGTAGAAATTAGTTCAGAAGGGAATTGTGAAGCTAACTGAGATTGCCAATATGATAAAACTACCAATTTGATTTGATGCTGCTTTTAAATCTATTCTCAAGAATTGCCTTAGCATAAAATTGTTTTCATGGGGGGATTAAAATGTTTTTAGCAATCTTGTAATTCTCTCAGGGTCATTCAGGTGAAGAGAGGAGGAAGCTACTTTCTTATGTATATTACTGAATTACTAGGTTCATATTTTGCTTTATGCCATTTTTGGGTGAATAGGCCCCTGGCCAAATTCATATATAATGTTAAGTCATAAATCATGATTTACATATCACAATAGCAAGTTCACACATACCACAATAACAAATTCATACAACATTTCTAACTAAATAAAAATCACAAAATGGCTTAATGTAACGTGTGATCTTAGCTAATGAATCTTGGATTACGCACTATAGCTATTAATACTTTCAAATATCTCCTTGGCAGCCCAATTTGAATTTTCTCTCTGTAGTATTTGATTCAAGTACATTTTCACAGCATGAAAGTGTTAACACATTAGAAAACATTCTTTACAAAGACAATTGCTTTTGTAGTGTAAAATTTGCCAATAATTCAACATTACAAATTTAGCAAATTCAAGGGAGTTCCATTATAAATACAGAAATCTTAATAGGTTTCTCGGAGTCCTGGTGAACTCAACTGCTTGCTCACATTGCAATGCAATTGACAGTTATATATACTTGAATGTGGAATCTGGTTTTGCTAATAGTTTTATCACTTAGCTCATTCTTAATTCAGCTTTAATCCCTGCAAAATAACACATGCATATTTTTAATAATTCATCATCTATTAATTAGTTTTGGCAATACTTATTTTTAAAGATCTACTCTTAATTACATGGGAGGAAGAACCTGTTTAATAACTTAAGGAAGAACAGCCAATTTATGCCTTTTGACAGCCAATTTCTCCTTCAAAGTCACAGCTTAGTTTCCTCCAAAGGTGCAGCTAGTTCTCACTTTCATTCTGAAAGAGAAAAGTGCATTTGTCTTCAGTATACATAGCTTTAATGTGGCATGAGCCTTTCCAAATAAGTCCTACTCCTCTCCATTTTTTGTCTCCATTTTCACTTAAAAGGGAAGAATTATGGGGGCGATGAGGCGCTCCCATGTGATACCTCTCCTGCGTGAGCTGCACTGGCTCCCGGTGGTCTTCCGGGTGCACTTCAAGGTGTTGGTGACCACCTTTAAAGCACTCCATGGCTTAGGGCCGGGGTACTTACGAGACTGCCTTCTGCCACCAATAGCCTCCCACCGGCCAGTACGCTCGCACAGAGTGGGCCTCCTCAGGGTGCCGTCCGCCAGACAATGTCGGCTGGTGACCCCCAGGGGGAGAGCCTTCTCTGTGGCGGCGCCCACCCTCTGGAACAACCTCCCCCCAGAGATACGTATAATAACAGACCTCCGGATTTTTCGTCGGGCCCTGAAAACCTATTTATTTCAACTAGCTGGGCTGGCTTGAGTTAAATTTTAAATTGATTTTAAATTGGGTTGTTTTAATTTACGGCCAAAATATTTAATTATTTTAAACTGTTTTTAAATTTTGTATGTTCTGTTTTTTACTTTGGCTGTTCACCGCCCTGAGTCCTATTTGGAGAAGGGCGGTATAGAAATGGAAACAAACAAACAAACAAACAAACAAACAAACAAACAAACAAACAAATAAGAAGAAAGCCTCATCCACTTTTATGCTTGTCCGAATGCCAGATTTTACACTTGTTATGTCAGACTTCAGTTTTTGTGCATGGTGCATAAAAGGCAGTGTAGTTCACCCCTAGAGGCCCTGAAGAACTGGGAGTTTCCCTCTTGGAAAAGGTCAGTTATCTCATCCATTCCAGGACTGCACAGGGTGTGTATTTGTGAACTAATCATTGCATCTCAGTCATTAAATGTAAGCCTTCCAAATGCAACTAGTCAAAAAGAGCTGCTTGTCAAATTTTTACACGGCCTGTAGTTTGAAAGGGCCCTTGCTCTCACACAAATGAGTGTGGTGAACATCTGTAAGGACTTTTCTCCAACTTTAGTGGACTGACTCAGCCTGGAGGAGATTCCCAGCCCTTTTTCTGTAGACAGACTGATTCTCCCATGCTGCAAGTCTTTTGTCTCTTTAATGGAAAATTTAGTTTATTTAATTTTATTTTAAAGCAGAAATGGACAAGTTACGTAATCTTGGACCACATAAAGCTCTTGTCATGTTCAATGTAGTGTGTGAATGGTCAGTTCAAACACCCAGCAGGAATGATAATATTTTTCTCCCTGCTTCATGTCGGTGGATCTTTGGAAGGATTCGGAGCCCCAGTTGCTCTTTACTTCCACCAGCGAAATTACTTCCTGAACCACAGGCAGCATATTTTAAATACCAGCTGCTGAGGGGATCTATTGTCCTCTTGTTCCTCTTTATGAGCTTCCCAAATACTATGTGTGGTAAAGAATTCTGGACCAAGTGAGCGTTTGGCTTGATGTTTATACTGAAAGACAAAAAGGGTAGATGAAGCCAACATAATTTAATATGCATTTATATTTATTCTGGTATTCAACTTGAAAAGCTCTTCAAAGCAGCTTTGTAGATTAATAAGCATGAATCACTGGATGCGCAGACTTCCAATACTCAACACAAGAGGAAAAAGAAATAGGAAAAGGAAACTTAAAGACAAATATTTAATTTAAAGGTTAGTATAACTAGCTAAGATAGAAATACATTGTTCACAGTTCTGAAACAGGCCCCCGAAAAATAGCTTGGCCTTCCTAAAAACCTGAGATAGAGTTCTTGGCTTTAGAATCATAGAAATTTCAGTTCTTCACCACTGAGCCCAACCGCCTGCTTTAAGAATGAAAATTAATGCATACATCTTCAACTGCTTTTTAAAATAATAAGAAAAAGAAAAAAAAAAAACAAAAGATACAGAACACAAAAATACATATATGATAAAATATGATTGTACTACAAATGAATACACACACATATATACAGATATCTATACATATTTGGCAAAATGTTTGCATTAGAAATATAGAATTTACTGTAATGACATATAATTTATATTTTGGTTTTTCTGTTGTATTTTTTGCTTATTTTTAATAACTTATTTTTTTATTATGTATGCATTTTTGTATTTTGTATCTTGTATTTTTTTTCCTTTCTCTGAAAATTAAAGCATGCCTGCTAGGCCATTGTCTCCCCTTCAATTGCATACATCCAGTGAAGGGGAGCATTGAATTATGTATTGGACACTTACATTTCATTTTGTGATCTTCAGCCTACTCTCTAGCCTGTCAAAATCACTGTTTTATGTCATGTATAAATTAGATACATTTTACTTTTCTTCATAGTTAATTGAAATGTTGAAGAGTACCGGGCAAGTCTAAAGTTTGTCACACCTCATTGAATACTTCCCCTCAGTTTGATGAAGATCTATGATGAGCACTCTATTGATAAGTGCAGTTTTTGAGCCTGCTGTCAGGTGTAAGAAACCAGGAGCCAGGATAGAATTCAAAAGCATTGCAAGTTTATTCCATGCAACGCATATATAAGAATCTGATCTACTAATGGTCAGGACAAATTGGCGCCAGATAAAAGTCAACAGACTTCAAGGGGGATTGGATTTAGGTCTCTTTCGGGGACATAAGGACTCCAGACCTGATGTTGCATTTGACCTGCCCTCTTGGGCTCCCCCTGGCCATCCCCTATCTCTGCATGTGATTTAATTGTCTATTTAATTGTCATATTCTCTAGCCCACATTAACTTGACAATTGCAACATCACACAGAATTTTGTCCATATGTTATAGAAATCAAGATATATTATGTACATGTCATTTCTATAATCTATTAAATAAGTTGTCCAATCAAAAATTAAGAACCAGGTTAGTCTGGCAAGACTTGTTCTTGACAAATACATGCTATTTTCTGGGAATCTTGTCATTTTTTCAGAGTTTGATTACTGTATAATCTGCTGCAGAGTGTTGCTAAATATTAATTTCAGACTGAGTATTCTCTAATGTTGAAGATCTTCTTTTTACCTCTTTTAGAAGATGAAGGATATGGTTTGTCTTCCTCTAGTCATATGGCATTTAATTTGTTCTCCAACATTTCTAAGAGATGATAGTTTATTCAGACCATTACCGGTAGATACTGTCTTCAAGACAGTAGGATACAGTTTGTGTGGCCCTGGAGATAGAAACTTGTTCAAAGTGATTAAATCTTCCCTGACTGCATGTTTCTGTCAGTTCCAAGCTTCAAATTTGTTCTTTGTTTTGTTCTGTTCTTCACAACTGTATATATTATTGGAGATGACTGAGATGAAACGAGAATTAAATCTGCTGTTATAATTTTTTTTGCGTTTGAGCAGCTGGTACATGGCTTCTTTTCATCTTTTATACATATCTGAAGAAGCCTTTTTCTTCTTGTTGTCATTCTGCACCATTGTGAGTTTTAACATTGCTGATGTTCCCTCTACAATTCGGGAGATATGTACTTACACGTGTGAATGCACACATGCACGTGCGTGTCCACACACACTTCTGTGGTAGCCCTCTTTTTATGCTCTACATGTGAATTTGTTTTCCTACTTTTATTTTTTTTTTCTCAGTAGATCGTTGGCAAACATGCTTTTAGTTTTTTCAAGTTTTAGGTGCTATAACTCAGCTTGAGCTCCTTTGCTCATTAGCTTCTCTTGTCTCCATTGGTGGTGTCCTACTTATTGAGGATATCTGAGGATATTAACATCTTTTGAAGTCTAAGATTCATATTTGACTCCACTGATCTTTTCTTCAGGGTTAACGTGGTCACTTTCTCCTAGTTTATTTTTTACTACTTCCATTTTATCAACTAAGTCTTTTCTGGTGGACTGTATTAAGTTAAAGATAAATGATTTTCTTGTCCCTCTCTTCACTCTCTGATGGATAAAAGCATTGGCAAAGCAAATCAGGAATTCCCTGAGAAAACCATGTTTTGCAGAGTTTATTTCATAGATATTAGTTCAATTAAAGTCTTCTCTATTATTATTACAAGCACTGTTTGGTTTTGGAAGGCATCATATACCTAATCTCTTGAGTAAAATGAGCTTTGGTAGCACCAACAGCAGAAGTCAGTAATTCTCTATGGCAGCCCCTGTCCTGTGAAACAATTTCCCCACTCTCCCATAACCAGATGATGCTCTCCCACTATTTAAGCAGGCAGTGTAAATGATGCTTTTCAGGAGAGCCCTTAATGGTTGGATCTTATTGTTAGGAGATGGCTCTGTTTTATAATTTTGCTAATTTAAGATATTGCTGTATGTTATTTTCCACTGTACTTTATTAAATGTTTGGTGCTGTTTTCTGGGAATGCAAGAGAAATGCAGCAACAGAAAAATAAAATTAGGGTGTCTACTAAGGCCACAGTTTTTCAATGTGTGATTGAACAGGCTACATAATAGTAACTTACTTCCTCACATAGCGAACAGATTTTTTAACTAACTCCCTTACTTTAGGGAAGGCTACACCAGGTATTCCTTTAGAGCCTGCAATTATTTTTAATTTTATCAGGTTGTTGGGGGCCTACTTTACGGTGTTAATTTCTAACCTCTATAGATCATGATTGGAAGACTCCCATGTTATACAAATGGTCCATCACTGAGATAACTTAGAACTGCTGAAACGTTGTTGGAAATAACTTCTCACCAATCTGGACATTGCAAGTAAGAGCAAAGAGACTACTGTAGATGAAATTAGCATTACCTCCTGAGGAGATGGTTTTCTTGTTCTTCTTTATAAGGCAACTTAACTGGTAGAAACAGCAACAAATGGAGATAGTGGGGCCTGTTGTTGTTTTTCCTCTTCTGTGCAAAGCAGTTGGTTCAAGCAGCCTTCCAGTGGTGTCAAGCATCTCTGACTTGCAATTTGGGGAATTGAAGTTCAGAACCTCAGGAGATCTCCAGGCTGGGATAAGCTGACTCAAGGCATTTACCAGCCACTCTTTCTATTATGTCCCAGTGCACAGCACTGGCAATTATGTTTTTGATGCATTAATATTTTATGTTAACTCTGAAAAATGAGGGGGAAAAGAAATGTCAAGTATTGACTTTAAAAATTAAATTGTAATCATAAAAGTAATTGGCAGAATTGATTGACAATCTGATCTGAGCCCTATGCAATAAACTTGGGTTGTAAAAACTCCTAAATGTCTAGATGTTTGTTTTAGAATGAGGAAAGAAATGATGAACTTTATCTTTAATTATAGAGTTGCTATCACACCTCCTGTAAAAATACATTGTAGCCGTAATTAAAGGCTGTAAAATTTAAATTCTTGGAGTTAGAGATTTCCAGGAGTGGAACAGTGAGGAAGTGAGAGAAAACAATGTGAAAGCTACTATTCCTTGGAAGTGCTTCAACAGTGATGATTGTAAAGTGCTTGGCTGTTTAATTTAGTAATAAATAAATTATAGGATTCATGAATCCAGGCAAGAAAGCCTGTCCTTAATAATAGAATTGCTAACAGCAAATTATAGGTTAAATACTGAGTTTGTACTGCTCATTTGGTGAATATAGAAATGCTAAAAAAAATGCAAATACATTTTTGATGATAGAGAAATTCAGCTTATGACTTGAGATGTGACTAATTCATAAATTATAGTTGATATACTGTTTTTCTGGTTGATTGTATCTTTTTTATATCTTTTTATTTATTAGTCACTCAGAGTCATCAAAGAGTTGTGTAGCTTCAAAAATTGATAGGTAAAGAAAAATAAAAATGCAATGTTCTAGTTCAGGATTTGTCTAGATGGCGCAGCTCTTAAAAATCATCTGAAATCTTTGATGTATTTAGCATGCAGCAGTCCAGATAGCTAGATGCCTGGATTAACCTATGTAACACCATAAAGCCGTGATGGCGAACCTATGGCATGCGTACCAGAGGTGGGGCGCAGAGCCCTCTCTGATGGCACGCGAGCCGTCACCCCAGTTCAGCTCCGCTGTGCATGTGTGCGCACCTCCCGCCAGCCAGCTATTCTTACTGGCCAGCGGAGCGCAGGCAGGGGGGCCATGTGCATGCAGGGGATGGGGCGCATGCGCAGGGGCCATGCATTGCATTTTGGGGGGGCATGTGCACGCATCCGTGCACGTGCGAGCTTTGAACACTCAGACCGGAAAAGGTTAGCCATCACTGCCATAAGGGATTGTATTAAATGTCAGTCCACTTCTAGATACAATTCAGGTGCCAGTTATCATCATTAAAACCATACTTGACTCAGGGCCTGGATATCTTTGAAACTACCTGCTCTGGGATGAGTCTGCCTATTCCAATAAGAGCTGAGATCTGCTAATGATCTCTTCTCTAAAGGAGTGCCATTGACTGGAGTCCCATAGCAGAGCCTTCTCATGATAGTACCCCTTCCATGAAACAGTTTCTCTTGATATCCAAACTACCCTATTTCTTGGAACTTCTGAAGAGCTTTCAAGATATGACGCTTCAGGAAATCATTTGAGGACAATGAGAATTAACGTATTCCAGTTGGGCTGCATTTAGGGAATATTTTATGATTAGATCATTATGGTTCTGTTTTTCATTTTGTTGTTTGATGTAAGCCTCTTACAGCTGTTGGGAACTGAGCCGTATATAAGCCATAGTAAATAACAATAAATTTGGATGCATTTTATTATTGCAATCTGGGGGGGCTGAAACATTTGGATGGTTGCCTTCACTTATGGTCCGTTTTAGAGCATTTAAGAAGCATGCTAGTTGTTGTTGACAATAACAATGCAAGGTTAAATCAATAGTCCTGCACTCATTATCTCCACTTTATGTACATACTGTTGTCCAAGGAAGATAACTAAGATAACACGGTGCCTTCCAGATATTTTGGATATCAGCTCTCAGCGAAAACATCTTATTAGCCCCAGCAAGCATGGCCAGTGACATTGGTTTATGGGAACTGAATCCATAATAGCTTGTTTTGTTTCCTTGTATTAAAGACCAGTAATTATGTAGAAGACAAAGATGGAGTAGCTTCATGCAATTTCTTTTCGTATTGTCCTGCTTGGACAAAATAAGTCATTTGAGACCTTTCAAATATTGCTAAAACACCATCCAATCAGCTAATTTGGCCAATAATCTGACCTTTGGAAATAGAATGGATGTATCACCTTAGTTTCTTATGAATTACAGCTATAAAATGGATTACATATAGACCAAAGGGGCAGTCCAAAAGCCTCATGCAAATATCCTATCACAATTCCAGCCCATTCAACACCTTAGTACCTCTAGATTAGGGTGCTGAAATTAGGTGCATTTTGCAGGGGAGGTTCTAGTGGATTTGGAAAGGTAGCAGTTTTGACTCCCAGAAGCCTCTCATTCTCATGCCTGCCCTTAAATGCTCTTTTAAAGAATGAGGAATTCTTATATCTGCATTTTTCATACTATATCATACTTTTATATTTCTACAGATAGTCTTCAAATTACCATAGTTCGTTTAGTGACTGTTCAAAGTTACAACGGCACTGAAAAAAGTGACCTATGTCTGTTTTTCACAGTTACAACCATTGCAGTATCCCCATGGTCACGTGTTCAAAATTGGGATACTAGGCAATTGACTCATATTTACGACCGCTGCAGTGTCCTGGGGTCATGTGATAACCTTTTACGACCTTCTGACAAGTAAAGTTAATGTGGAAGTCAGATTCACTTAACAACTGCAGAGATTCACTTAACAACTGTGGCAAGAAAGGTCACAGAATGGAGCAAATTCACTTAATAAATGTCTCACTTAGCAACAGAAATGTTGGGCTCAATTGTTTGGCTCAATAAGTTGAGGACTATTTGTACAAGTAGTCCTTGATTTACAAGAGTTTGCTTAGTGACCATTCAAAGTTACAATGGCACTGATAGAAGTGACTTATGAGTGTTTTTCACAGTTACAACGTTTCCAGCATCCCCATGATGATGTGATCAAAATTCAGATGCTTGGCAACTGGTTCATACTTACGACCGTTACTGTGTCCCAAGATCGTGTGATCACCTTTTGCAACTTTCTGACAAGCAAAGTCAATGGGGAAACCAGATTCACTTAACAGCTAGGTTATTAGCTTATCAACTGCAGTGGTTCATTTAACAACCGTGGCAAGAAAGGTCATAAAATGGGGCAAAACTCACTTAATAACAGAAATGTTGGGCTCAATTGTGGTCGTAAGTCAAGGACTATCTGTACTTAATTCCAGATAAAAATAATCGCAGATACTGTAGAGTTTCTCCTCATTTTATGTGTGTTTAAATGATCATCATCAGGCTGCCAGTCTTTTTCCAGACTCAAATCAGATGGTAGTGATTAATGTCTTTGACCCAGAATATTCTATTTTTACTTGCCCAGGCATTTTGGTTATCTTCTGAAGCCATCCTCTTAGTATTCTTTCTTTCTGATGGTAGGTAGACAGCTATAAGGGGGTGTGCTTAAAATTATGCAGCTTTATTTATGACATGCTTTCCCCAGCAAGGCTTTTCTAATACTTTGTGATGTCTTCTTGATGTCATTAAGACATCCTTCTTCCCCCATCATTTTAATGGTGGTATTTATGTTTATATTCTTCCTGTACTACTTATACATCTATTAATTGTTTTTCATGATTACCTTTACTATTGCTTTGGATGTTTCTAAAAGCTTTATAGTGTACTTAGGGAATTATGGATGCTGAGTGCATTAGAAATACTGTTGCTGCTAATATACTTGTAACAACATGTCTTGGATGCTCTCAAAAAATGACCACCACAACTGTCACAATACCGAAGGCATACATATTCAGAAATTTATCGAAGGCATACATGCTCAAAAATACCCACTCTGTCAATGGGATCTTACTACAGGTGGCGCAGTGGTTAGAGTGCAGTACTGCAGGCTACTTCAGCTGACTGCTAGCTGCAGTTCGGCATTGTGAAGCAGTATATAAGTCTTAAGTGCTATTGCTGTTGCTACATTTCGGTCACACAACTGTGGCCTTTAGTCTCACAACTGAGAGAGTATGACCCAGAAGGAGTAGAGGTAGCAGGCCAAATTGGGCAGAAATGGAACACACATGGAATGTTCTTTCTGTTCCTCTTCAAGGTTGTGTTTTGATAGGTATTTTTTTCCTTTTTCCTAGCAAATTCTAGGAATTAGGGAAGAATATTACTACTTTTCCCAACTAAAAACAGTGGGAAACTGTCAGTGATCTCTGGAAGCAAAATTAGACAGAGAGACTTCCAGGGGTTTAACAAACAGTTATATAAGAAGGAGGACTTGGGGCTCCATGCTGTCCATGTAGGTCCTGGTTGGTTTAAAACTAGTAGGCCAAAGGTTGGTTTAAAACTAGTTATTGAGAATCAGCAGGATTTTGGAATTGTTCTTGTAGTTGGAAGACAAATGTGTAGCTAAGGTTGATTTCTAACAAGCTACTGATTACAAAAAGTCAGCTTCGTTGATTACCTTAATTATAGATGAAACTGTGAGCAGTACTTCATCATATTTGCATAACATTTTCTGTTAATAAGAATCTTCCCTCATCCTATTCCAGTTTATTTTTCTGGATAAGAGTTTCTGATGGCTTTTTAAATATATTGCAACAGAAAATGGTTCAGATGTTTTTAAAGAATGACTTTAAGGGGAAATATTTTTCCTAGTTTTATATGTAAAATATTATTATATTTACATTGGTAATGTCTAAATTATATATTTGAAGTTAGAAAAAAAATAAATGAGGCAAATCTGTTGTTAGATAATAAGCAAAGAAAGGATTCCAATCCAATTATGGCTTCCATTTTTTCTTGATGAAAGTTCCTAGAGAAATGGTACATAGTCAGAAATTCAGAAAGTGAAGAAAGATGCACTTACTTATTTAATACTTTTCTTTTGCAAACTGTGAAAACAGGATAGTCTTTTGAAATTGTTTATATCAGGGGTGAAATGATACCAGTTCGCACTGGTTTGGGAGAACCGGTAGTGATAAAAATGACCGGTTCAACTTCAGGCGAATCAGTAGTAAAAAAAAAGCTACC